TACGAGTAAAGAGCGTCAGTTCCAGCCTGTTTTTCCAGAAACAACACACACAGCCTCAGGCAATTCACATCTCTAAGTGATGCTGCAGATATTAACCAAAGCATGTAACTCAAGATCCAAGATAACTCTTTGCAATTGTTTTATTTTGAGGTTTCTGCTCTATTTTTTTTAAAAAATAATTTTTGGTTGCTTTTTGGGGGAGTGGGGGTGGGGGAAGGGAGAGTTCTGAGGAAGGTTTTTAGTTGCTGCTTTTTTTTACTCAGGGGAAAAACGTTTGTATCAAGTGATCAATAGGTTTAAATGTGTGCATTGAGACCTCTGGTTTTCTGTCACAATTTAGTCATGAAGACCACACAAGTCGCACACCCGTACGTCTCACTTGGTAAAAACAGTAGACAGAAAAACGGAAACAATAGAGTGCTTGGAGCACGAAGCACACTGGAATTCCAGACAAAGAGTTGATGAACAACTACAACAACAAAAGAAAAAAGACAACAGTGGCGAGACACTTTTGCATGTCGTTAGATTGTTCTCCCCACGTGACACATTTTAAGGCAGGTCACCAGCAAGCAAGGAGCTTACCCCACCAGTGCGGGGCGATTTTCAGGAAGCGAAACTTTGTCGACGCTTTCGACTGCCGAGTGTGAAGTCACTATGCATGTTATTCGAATACCGTGTGAGAACTTTATTTTTTTCATGTAATATTATAATATATCACTATTAGACCGTCAAGAACACTCGCTATACAACACTCTTATATGTTCCGCTCAACACACTTCCTCATGATCACTAAATTCAAAGTATTAACATTTATATATTTGCCTTCATGATTTTAGAAATACATGAGTAATTTGCTCAAGTTTACGACAGTTGGAGAAAAATGAGACAAAAATCCATTGTCCGTATAAAAAAAACCCACGGCATTCGAATATCCCTGCCTGGCTTTGAACAAAAAACTACGAATAGCTTTTAAAATCGTGAATGTTGAGTAGGAGAATAGAATGGGCACATGAGCATTTTATATTTTACCCCCCAAAACCAAAACAGGCAAGCTTTTTGTTAATTTGTGCCAGTTCAGACATTCGCCCATATTATGTGTAAAAACAAGCGTCCCGTAATTTGGTTATAAATACATAAGAATAGCAACTGAATGGGGAACAACACGAATTAAAATGGCGTAAACCAATTTACAAGAGAGGATTGCTGCTTGGAACTAAAAGCCATAGAGACAGGATCATAAATCAAGAGATGAAGGTCTTTATGAATATCAGGATCAAAGGGGAACTGTTCTTATTATGTACACATGATATCGGCAAATGAATGAAAAGAATAAGTGATAATGATAAGCAAAATGAGAAAGACACGACAGTAAAACAAGTACAAAAACAAGGCGAAAAAACGGAAAAGGTGTGTGTGTGTGTGTGTGTGTGTGTGTGTGTGTGTGTGTGTGTGTG